TGGCGGCACATCAGTGTCAGCCTTGGCAGGATAAATCTCCCCAGATCTATTCAATGGCTGTGAAGATTCTAAACTAACATGAGTCTCATATGTGTCCAGTTTAAGGGTATTACACAGAAACACACCACAATAACATGAATCAAATATGTACTTTATTCATTTACATTAAATGTCATAATGTACATTCTGATTGGAGCTAAGGGCATACGCTGTCTAACAAATAGCAGAGAAATATGGGCTTGACAGGAATGGGTGGTGGGTGGGATGCTGGTTCTCCAATTTTGACCTATGGGTGTGGCTTGTGGAAAGGAATTTGTAAAGCTTCTACACATGTCAGAAGGTGTATTAGATATAAAGTTGGAGATGGTAGGAGGATCAGATTCTGGTTAGACCTCCGGACTGGTGAGAGCACACTTAAAGAGCTATTTCCTTCTTTGTTCAATATGGCAACTGACAAGGAGGCGTTAGTAGCTGACACTCCATCCTTTAGAAGGGAGGAATGGCACATATCTGGGTTGACTAGGAAAGGGCTGTGTGGCTGGAAAGAAACAACAGGACTTTTGAACACAATGCTTCCTCTGAAGCTGAGGTCATCAATACAGCTATAGGGTTTATTAGGAGTTGGTTGTCTGTACATACTGTTTTTAAAGATGATACGTCTGATTGTACCTTTTGAGGATGGCCTTTTCTTGAGGTCCTTGATAGCTTTTTGTATAGCTTCTCATCTTACTAATGACCTTTTTCTTTAATTCAATTATACTTTTCCTTTTCTCAATTTTTTTTTGCATTTATTTCTATTTTAAAATTTTATTATCTAATATCATGGGTTGACTCACTTGATTGGATAGTTGAATTGCTTATCCACTACCCAGATGGAAGATGGTTTTGTTTTTTTTTTTTTTTGAGTCTCTTTTAAAAAACATGGACATCCCACCTTCATACCTCTAATAATAGTAGTGTGTGTGAGTGTGTGTGCGCATGTGTTCATGTACAAATATCGTGGGATGTCTAAAAGCAGGCTGACCACCCCCATTTAGAAAGAAGAAAAATTGGGGATGTCTAAAATATATGAAAACAGGAGGCTCTCTCCTTTTGGAGAGCCAGAAGTATCAATATGTAGTATTTTCAGTTTATTCCAGAGAAAAGGTGACAAAATAGATTACTGGTTTAGATGAAAATGTTAAGAGGTAATTTTGGGACCAGTAGCTTTAGACGAGTTCTACACATTGTGGAATTTACATGCTGTTGTGCAGTTGGTTGACTATCTTTATGTCCATTACAATTACGACACATTGATCAATATTATAAATTCAGTTTATTGTCTACTTGTTGGTGTTGGTCATCTAGTTAGCTGTAGTAGACCTCTTTCTTAATTAAGACATCTATAAAAAGGTTAACCTTACTATGATTCTGGAAAGACATGATACCAGAAAAACTTCAACCAATCAACCAACATCATAAAAGCAGTAATCAATCAGGCCATCAAGATTCATGGGGTTGTGATTGGTCAAAGCCTCCTGATATCATATCTTTTCAGCATCATAGATTTGCCCCCTTAATTAAGGTTTTCTTTGGATTGCACAAGGAAAATATGGGGCCATACCTTTATCAATCCATCTTTAATATTCCCTCGTTAAGTGAAGAGATCAATTGATATTATTTAAGATGTTGAGAATTTGGAGATCAATTTATTTGTTGTATATTTCTGACAGAGACAGGATCATCAAGAACGACAATACATTTCAAATCAAGCACTACGACAGGCAGTTGGTGTTACAGCAGCAAGCCATATCCCAGGTGCTTACAGAAGTTCTTCGCGGCTTCCCTCAGAACCCCAAAACCTGCTACTGCAGCAAGCTCCACATACGAGGGTCTCTCAGACCTTGACCCAGTCTGCAAGCCTGCTTCGTCCACCTACAAATTTCCCACTGTCACAGATTCAGCAAGGAGGGGCTCAAGGTGTAATTGGTCAGGCTACTGCAGGTGCAATAAACCAACATGCTTGGCATATGGCTGGTGTTCAACGAGCTGGGCAGACGACCAGACCACCACCAGCAGTACCAGTTCAACTGCAAGCACCTAGGGCATCATCTGTTGCAATGAACACTGATGGGCTTAGAATGGGGGAGCAGAGAGGGAGTATGAAAGCGATGGTGCAACCAGTTTCAACGGCTGGTAGCTCAGAAGAATTGCCATCCGAGCAGAACTGGAGACCCACAGGACGAATGAGGGGAAGCTTAGCAGGCCGGGCTTATTCTGCTGCTATTGGTCATTTGATGATTCAACCGACTCAAACGCAACCATCCCAAGCTCCCTTACCACCTTCCAATCAGATATCCGCCCCTGCTGATACAACACAACTACAGGTCCTCATCGCTAATAGCATTAATGCTCATGGTCCAGTGTCACAAGCTTACCAAAGAATAAGAGATGCAGCGGCTAGGGCTGGAACCTTGGGTGTTCTTCCTGAGCGATCTCAGGGAGTGTAATTACTAGTTCTCCTGCATGTGGCTCCCACAGTTTTGTGTATATAGTTTTACATCTGAAAATGTTCATGCATACATTTCATCATTCTGTACGGTTATATTGAGTGGTTGATCTGTGGCAATGTATATGGTATATCTCGAGAGATTTTAATTTTTTGTTACAAACAGATAATTGTCACAAATTAGTACTCGATTATTACAAATCAATTCTACTTGCCTGCTTCAAATTTGAATTTCTTATAAATTAACAGACTCAAACGCAAGTGCTTACAGCTTACCATTAATAATACTAAGGCTGTGTTTGGTTGCAATGCAAATAAATTTGCATTGATGTAAAACTGTGGCAGTGCAAATGATTTGAGCGTAAATTCTGATCTATTTTTGTTTCAAATTTTAGTTTATTTTGCTTGATTGCATTATAAATGAAATAAATTAAGACATGAAGCAGAATAAAAACCTGAACAAAATTAAATGAGAATTTGCACTCCCAAGCATTTTACTAGTGCAAAAAAAATTGCACTGCAACCATACACAGCCTAAATAACTAAAAATAACTAAAAAGGTGAAAGATTTTCACCATAGCCGTACTACAAATTGTTTGGATATCCAACTACAGTGCATTTTGAATATTTATTACGTGTTAAAGGTCTATTCATTCTTGAGCTGCAAGTCGCCGGAATCAAGCAGGCGTTCTTACCAAGAGTTTTCGAAGTTTGCTCAGATGGAGCTTGGTACAGGGTGTGGGTAGCGTCTAAATTCGAACAGGTGGGGTGGGGAAGACGAAAGGTTGAAGAAGAGGAAGAGGTGGTAGGGTGGTGGACACGTGGATGAAGAAGAGTGGGGGAAGAAGAAAAGTCTCGAGAAAACCAAAATAGATTTAAATCAGTCGACGTGGGTAAACCTGGCGACAAGCAAGCCATTAAGAGTAACTAATTCAAGGGTAAAATACAAAAACCTCCCCTAAATTTTCCGACAATCATAAAAACCTCTATGTTTATACTTTAGCAGAAACCTCCCCTGTACTTGTTAGAAAATATGCAACTACCTCCTTTCCTAAACAAAAAAGCCGAAAAAATGTGTTTTTTTTTTTTTTTTAAATGCCTATTTTGCTCTTATGCATATCTATTTAGATGTAGATTTATTAAACTTTCCTCCAAAACACTGTTCATTTTCTTCCCAGTAACAGAGAACCAGAGTCGTCATCTCTCTCTCTTTCTCTTCGCCTCATCCTTCTGTCTGCCCTTGGCTACATCTTGGCTTTTGCCTCTTTTGCCTTCCTAATCTCGTTCACCATCTCTACTCGATCGAGTCTTTGTCAGTTCCTTCTTCGCCTACAATTTCAACAAACACCCACCACCACACAAGGAAAATGAGAAACATGGTGGCATCTCGGCCTCACCAATAGCTACAATGAAGCCAACTTGAGTATGTTTCATGGTATTTAACTAACACAGCTTGCATTTCGACCTCTTTGTCTTGCGCCAATAATTCCAAAGTTGAATATCGGATAAGATTAGACTTGTAGAGATGAATAATTGGTGGAAGACTACGTCTACGATAGCTAACAAGTTCGTCTTGAGTGTATCAGTGTATTTAGCTTATACATGAGCATGTAAAAGTTGAATGTCCATGAAAAGGGGTGATTTTGGAGACAAAAGCACACCTTATGTAAGCTGGAGTAGTGATGAGAGATGTCTGATCGAGTCCCAATAGCACTTGTGGCATCCATCGATTTTGTCTAATTCCATGAGATGAATCCCCTTTCAACTTTGGAGAACGGTCTCTATGTTCATCGCATGCGGGGAATTGGAGATGAATCCCCAATAAATTCATCGCATGCGGGGAATTGGAGAACGGTCTCTATGTTCTACATCCTTCTCTGGAAACTAACTTAACCGAAACTACGTTGGTCGAAAATCTCAAGAAAAGGAATCATGATACAGTAAATCCCACGTGCCTCTGGCATTACCAACTTGGCCATATCGGTGTTGACCGAATCACAAGGCTGGTAAAGGATGGTCCTTTGGATTTTCTAACCGTAGAAAATCTTCCCACTTGTGAACCTTGCCTTCAAGGTAAGATGTCTAACC